TCTCTCTCTCTCTCTCTCTCTCTCTCTCTCTCTCTCTCTCTCTCTCTCTCGAAGTCCCGGGGACGACTGGACCAGTCTTCGTCCCCGGCGCTCATGCAGCATTTATTTATGGTGGAGACTGCAAGAAAAGACGCTGGCGAAGACACGGGGGCGATCCACTACGATAAGCCAAATGAATTTGAAAGTGGACGCCTTGGAAGGGAGGCATCAACAACTCCCAGCTTTGCTGATGAGCGACGTGAGTCCAACTGCTGGAGCTGGCCTACCAAACGCAGCTCGGGTCTTTACACACTGAAGTAGAGCGGCTGCAGAGGAACGCAGATGCACAGCGCCATGAAGCCCTGAGATGGCGACGGTTCAGAGACACGTGGAGTAGTGAACTGGAACTGGCAAGCCGGGCCAGGGGTGACGCTTAGAGGTTACATGGTCACAACGAGGAACTGCGTCGCCAGCTCGAGCAAACACCGTTGGCCAGGGAACACACCCGAGAGGAACTAGAGGCAGCAGAAAAAAGAAGTCTATGCTCTATGTTGGCAAATGCCCAAGAGGAGAAAAGATAATTGGCGGAGACAGAAGTTTCTGTGTAGAGAGTTGATGGGCAGAATGGTTGCCAAGAGTTCTCCGAGATGCAGAACCTCGGAGGGACATCACAACAGCCGTTGACACAAACCGAACAACAATGTGCTAGGTACACTTAGACGCAGGATTGCCCGCCACCTGATATGGTCCACCTGCTTGGAAGTTCACCGGACGAACAAGAAGCCACTCGAGTATGGCAAGGGGTGCAGGTGTGGCTGGATGGCGGATCTCTTCACCTGGGGAAATGGCGGAGTGACAACAATGCAGTTCTCGAGTCGATTCCGGAAGAAGACCGAGCACCAGACGCGATGGTGGCACTCGAACCAGACAAGATGGGATTGACGTTTGGAGCTGTGGAAACGCTAGGAGGCTCTGGGAGTGTCAAGGACGACACCTTCACCTTCTCCTATCGTCCTTCAAAACGACTTCTTCAGACCAAGCAGACGGTTCTGGCTAAGATGGCCAGCATACTCAACCCTAGCAGACAGATAGCGCCAATTACCATTCGCGCCAGGAACATGTTCCAGGATCTTTGCCTGCTAAAGGTGGGTTGGGATGACCAACTACCCAAGAAGAAAGAGCAGCTACCGAAGCTCGGCTACATCAAAGTCAATAGGCGCTTCAAGGACAGCGCGCACCCTGCTTCCAAGCCAAAGCTCACTCTGTATAATCACAGATGCATCATACCCTGCCATTTCCGCAGCCAGCTAAGTTAGAGTTGAGTACCCGGAGGGAGACTTTGGCGTGACTTTGGCATTCGCCAAAGCACGCGCATCACCCATCAAGAAGCTTACCATCCCCAAACCGGATCTTCATGGTGCTGCCCTAGGAGTGCGTGTGAGTACTGTAGTTGCAGAGGCACTCGGTATTCCGCTCAAAGATCACGTCTTCTGGACTGACTTACAGAACGTTCTCTACTGGATTAGATCGCACTCGAGGGACTTCAAAGTGGATGTGGACAACAAGATCGCTGAAATCCAGACAGCTATTAATGGAGGCGAGTGGAGGCATGTTCCGGGCAAGATCAACCCCGCGGACGAGGGCGACCGTGGCATGAAAGCCCGCGACCTGGCTGTAGACAATGCATGGTGGCAGGGATCGCAATGCCTGAGGGAGTCACCCGAGAAGTGGCCACTCGCGGAGCTCCACAGGCCACGAGAGGAACCCGGTGAGCTGAAAAAGAAAGTAGTATTGATGTTCGCAACCGGACCGGTGGTCAGCCCAGTGGATCTTTCACGGCACTCCACATGGAACAAGGTCGGGAGAGTGCAAGCCTGGTGTCATCGGTTCATCCACAACCTGCGCCAGATGATCGCGAGGGGGAGAGAGTCAGACTTGACAAATCAGCAAGTCAGGACCGCAGCTCCCACATCTCCGCAACCCTGCACGCACATAACAGTTGTTGTTGTTGTTTATTTTACTTCGCAGATTCTAACGGGCAAGTTGCCCAATAACAGTTCACCGGAGAGACGCTACCAGGAAGTGCATCGGTGTCACACGGGTTTCAGTCCTAGAACTGTGCAGCTGCGAAGCAAAGCCAAGATGCAACTGGTAGCTCTCGCTCGACAGGAGGAGTACAGTGTATCCCGAAGCCGTACATATGTTAAGGACGAACAAGAGTGTGCCACCAAGTGATGCCCTGTACAAGCTGGCGCCAACCCTGGTCACCCGAGATGGCCTGACCCTGTTGGTTCTTGGAAGCCGGCTAGCGCATTGGACGAATCTGCCTTCCGACCTGCGACAGCCCCTGATCCTGCCGCCGAAACATCGGCTAACCAGACTGATTATCGAGGAGGCGGATAGAACAGCCAACCACACAATCGGGCCGCAGCACCTGTTGTCTAAACTGCGCGAACGCAATTGGATAGTGAACGGCCTATCAACGGTGAAGTCTCTTCGTAACGGGTGCGTCATGTGTCGCAAAAACTGGGCACGACCGATGGAACAAGTGATAGCCCCGTTACGCAAGTGCAATTGGGAGAGTCTGCGATGCCAGACAGCGCTGTGGAGAGTCTGCGATGCCAGACAGCGCTGTGGAAAATGATGAAGCATCTCCCTCATGCTGACTGCATTCGAGAGAGAGGGGGAGAATGTTGGAATATGTATGAGCATACTAGTAGGTCAAGGAACTAGTACTTCAAGTGGTTGTATCACCCATTGACAGCATGGGAACGTGTGGAGGTCGCGCATCATGACGTTACCAGATAGATGCTCTGCACCTATCACCCATGCACACCTTTCATGCAACACATCGGTTTTTGTGTGTGTGAAGGAAGGAACTGTCACCTATCTTGCGTTTATCACACATGTACATTGCACTTGGCACACATGTAAACTGTCTTTGATGAGACCCTATCCCACCTCCAGCAGGATCTCGCCAGCTGCCAGCATTGGGCACAGAAAATACATGGCAAATTCTCTCCTGAAAAAACGTTAATCTTGTCCAATTACAACATTCCTGAATCCTCCTCGGTGTCCTTGGACAACGTTTTAATCGGATCTGGGCGCTCCGCTAAGCATCTCGGTGTAGAGCTCAGTGATGGTTTGAAGTTCCACGACCACTTCCACACCATCTTCAGGAAGTTCCAGCAACGTGTTAATCTGTTATGCTTCATGGGCCGCCATTTATCACCATCACACATTGCTCTCCTGTATTAGTCTTACGTACGTCGGGAGTATGCCATTCCTGTCCGCTCAATTAGAGTCCCTTGATGTACTCCAGGCTAAGGTTTGCCGGCGACTCCTGACGTCTGCGAAAATAGACTTTGACAATCAAAATCAAAATCAAATTTGAATAGATTGTGTCACTTGGAATCCCTGCAATTTCGTCGTATCTTCATTTCTCTGGTTGTTTTATTTAAGTACATCAATTTCCACCCAGACTATCTCTCTCTTCAGGAATGATTGTGTGAGCCGCTGTGACTAGAATGTGGATCGAGTCAGCGCATCGGTTACTGGAAGGTCTGAATTAGAGAAGGGATTCGGAACATGCATCGCACTTGGGTTTTTTTAATTTTTTTTTATGAGAAACCGCTAACCTTGAGAACAGAATACTGCATGATAGCCTGAAGTGGTTACAGTCACAGACTAGACGCAACTGTGGTGGTGAAACTGGAGCATCTCCACCGACCTGAGGTCTCGGCTTCAGCGACACTTCAGTGAACCAAAATTATCCGATCACAACGCAACTGTTACTTGGCAGATAGTATCATACCACTACTACACACCTTTTTATTTATAAAAAGATTAAACATCTACATTGCATCTCTCTCAAATAATAGCAAGAGTATACTGGGCATGGGGCCTGGCCACAGCTAGCCTAGGTAAGAGTTGTGACTCAGCCCTCTCCCCCAAGACGTCACTCCCTGCCACTATCACTACCAAACTATAGAAACTATAAAAGATAATAATACAATTACAAGAGAGATTGGAAGCTGTGTCGCAACTCTGAGTTTTACGATCATCAGGCAACTGATGGCTCCAAAGCGGGCAGCCTGAACATATGATGGTCATACGGCAATGGGGGAGCAAGGTGGGAAATTCTGAAGGGTATCATAGCGCAAGACTCCAAGAGTCAGGTGCGGGCGTGAAGCAACACGTTAGTTGCCAAATCTTTTAAACACTTAGGGCTATGCAGCAGCAGTTCCGGATAGCTACTCGAGTATGTAGTATCAGTGCCAATGAAAAATAATTAATGCCATCGACTGAGTCTGTCACCTGGTCACCTGGCCACTCAGCCTTGACTTAGTTGAGTATGACACTGCCACTGGCTGTGGCAGGTCCATATCGCCAGATTACTGACACGTGACATCTGATTACTATGAACGCTATCTCAGCCTGTCGATCAGATCAGATTCTCGGACGGCTTCTGCCACGCCAGCTATTCTACAGTACATGTAGTACAGAACTGTAGTGTTGTACTTCTACTACACGTACTACTAGTACTACATGATTGTACTACTGTACTAGTTCTGGGCCTCCTGGACTGGAGTCTACACTACATGTATACAGCGTGACGGTTGCCGAGAGGCGTCAGCCCTGCACCATCCCGGACTCCCTCTACTAGCACTGTACATAGGTAAAAGACTTTCAAAGTCGTCCCCCCAGGTAGTGACTAGTACGTGCTCCCAGTTCTAGTCAGTTTTTCGTTCGGTGGAACCATGTCCTCAGTAGTGCAGTGCGGTGGTTGTGGATCGTCCACGACCACTCTAAAGTTTGTTTCATGTTTGCACGCACTGTGTGTGTCGTGCCTGCAGAACAGCGTGGGATTTGATGGCTGCATAAAATGCCCTCAATGTTCGTCCAGAACGCAGGTGAATTTCGGCTTCCATCCATTACGATCTCTTCCAAATGTGGTCCAAGAAAGAGATACAGTTAATGGAGCGGTTGGTCAACTGCAGCGAAGTCCAGTTTCCCCAACGATGGTTACGTGCGATGAGTGCTGGGATGATACAGCGGCTACAGTAGTTTGCGAGATTTGCGACGTAAAATTCTGTGAGTACCATGGCACTGGCCACCTGCGATCAAAATCAGGCAAAGGCCATACTATCAACCCACTGTCTGCGGCATCCATCGCGGAGACTGAGTCAACAAGCAGTGGCAGCAGCAGTGGCAGAGTGGCCCAGCATAGATGTGGTCTGCACATGAATGAAGTGCTGAACCAGTTTTGCTTGGATTGCAATCAGCTATTGTGTACGCAGTGCATACATACTGGAGCACACAGACATACTGAGCACAAGGTGATGGATATTGCCAGTGCTGCACAAAACACTCGTGACACACTTTCCACCAAGCTGAGCAGTTGTACATCAGAATGTGATGGTGTTGTCAGCAGTGCCATAGAGACCGTCGAGAAGAGCATTCGAATGGTACACAGTCAAACAGAGTATGCTTCAGAGAAGGTATCTAGTTTCTTCAAGCCTCTGATGGAGGCTGTGAAGAAACGAGAGGACTCTCTTCTAGCCGATCTGGATCAGCTGAGGTTGAAGAAACTGGAACCTCTGGAGAAGCAACTACACCAACTTCAGGAGTGTGTGTCGAAAGGAGAGAGTATTGCCAGCATTCTGCAGTCGTTTGAGGATGATATTGAGCTTCTCCGCGTGTGGTCTTGGGTGGATGCATCTATCAGCAAGACCATGAAAACTGCAGAGAAGGAGAAAGAGCCATGTGCCACCAGTGGCATTGTGTTTGGCATGACGGACACCACGTCACTACTCAATGACATCAGCAAGACGGGAGCTGTGCTGGATGTTGCTGATGGTACATTGAAGTGCCCAGATGAAGCTCTTGTCAATGAGCATCCAGACATCTCTATACAGCTACCAGACAGTGCCGTCTCAAGTATCTCGGAACAAGAACAACTGAACAACATTGGACTGGAGATATCCATATCTGGTGTGGATGAGAACACAACTAACGTGTGCACGCAGCTTACACCTGCTACCGGACAAATACAGACCCTACATACTGCGTTGCAAACTGGCCACTACAACATTTCAGCCAAGATTGGCTGTGTCCATCTGAAAGGTAGTCCACAGAAGCTGGTGGTGTCGGCGGCTCCAACGTTTGATGGAAATCGCAGTGCTAGTTCTCTGAGTATCAGCCATGATGGTCACTCGCTGAGTAAGACCAGTGCCGGTGGTAGTTGGTTATCATCATGTACCACACCCATGGTCACTTGCACTGGGAGCAGTACACTAAAGGTGATGATTGACCAGACGCAGGATGGTAGCATATTGCTATCGGCCTGTTCATCCACTAGTCCAAATCTGTACAATTACCAGCAAGACAAGGCACAGTGTTTTGGTTGGTATGGCCATTTGCCTAGTGCCCATCACACCGGAACAGCCCTTGCTCAACGGTGGCAAACTGGTGACGTCATTCATCTCACAGTTGACCATGATCGTCACACTCTCACAGGTAGACACGAGAGAACGGGCGTCAAAGAAATCATCCGGAACGTCACAGGTAACCTGTACGGGATTGTGACATTGTACCATGAGGGAGACAAAATTACTCTGATTTGACATGTTTGCTTAAAAAATTTCGCTTTTCTTTAGACAACGTTGAGTTAGCTAACTTGAATATTATTTCTTATTTTGTCTTATCAGCAATATGACTAGCATTGTACCGGTACCTCTATAGCCATCAACACCAAAGTCAGCAGCCATCAGCATCAGTGTCAGTATCAACATCAGTGCTGTCAGCTTCTCCCAATGCATAGTGCTTCCAGGTACAGTTACATGAGCATGTTCATTTTACACAAGGAAGTTGTTTGCTCCCACCCTGGAGCTAGCGTCCCCCCCCCCCACCTTATCCTTATCAAATTTACACAAAAATTATCGCCAAGGTCGCTACCACTATTTCGTTACTTTATTTTCGTATGTACATTAAAATGATAGTTGTATCTCTGGATGGTTCCTCCGTGTACATATGTTTCTACTATCAACTTTGTGAAGTGACGTCACGGTGTCGTACATGTGACAATCTTGGCCTTGGCAATACATGTAGATGCATAACACATCCCAACACCATAATCATTTCAAACAATAGCCTTTGTTCTGTCTTCCGTGAAAGGCTGCAAGTGATTCATATTGCATGACAACAGTGGTACTATGGGCATAGTTGTTGTTGTTGTTGTTGTTGTTGTTGTTGTTGTTGTTGTTGTTGTTGTTGTTGTTGTTGTTGTTGTTGTTGTTGTTGTTGTTGAAAATGTATTTTGTATGGCAGACCAAACGGGCAATGATGACCAATATTGTGATGGAGATTAAGTAACGGCCAAAACCAGTTATCAGCTTCAAAACGATGCTTGTTTGTTTGTACACCCGCACTAGGCACCGGCGGATTATGCCTTTCATACTTCAAAAAAAGAAGTAAGTATTTGCGTAATTTGGTGGTTGAAAATTTGGAGCATAATTTAGCATCCTTTCGGAGCTAGGAGCATAACCATGATAACTACAAAATAATAATATAATAAATCTTTATATCAGGATTACCGAAAGGCTGACGCCTATGGGGGGTCTCATGTACATGTACATGTATGTACAATGAACATTGGAGTTTAGGGGTGTGCGAGTAATGTTCGAAAAGGTGGCGGATTCTGCTCGAAAAGCAGTGAAAATGGCAGAACCATACAAACTTTATGGTGGGCAATTCCTCAAATTCTGCCGCCCATTTCTTTATCCACATACCAAACATGCATGAAACTTACCAGAAAAAGTACCGAATTCTGCCAATTTTTCTGCCGGCATTATCCGCTTCTGCCTATTGGAGTTGGGAAAGGAGAAAGTTGTCAAAGTGAGTTCGGAAAAGAACGATGCTGTACAAAAGATACAGTGAAAGAAAAATCAGTATAAATCAATGATTGCACATCAAAGATGCCAGTGCAGTCGAGCTGATACACGATTCCGTAAATCTGTACCTGACCACATAGGGTACCCTGTAAAAAAGGCCTTAGGCCTGTGGGGATTGCCCTATTCAAAATCAGAAAGTGCGATAACAGGGCAAAAACTGACATGTTACTGTGGCCTTCAACGACCTGAGACCAAGCTCTCACACACCTCTAGTGCGCAAACCAACAGCCTTCCAGCTTGGAAGGTTCAAGGTTATGGTAAGACCAATGAGGGGAAGGTGACCCCAGCGAAAATGTGCATAAGCTAAGTCCCAAGGCAACAAAGAATGCCGACTGTTACAGGACCATGACGGGACCAGTTCATAAGATGACAATGTGGTCTAACTACAATTCGAAGCAGCAAAGCAACACAGCACCCAACTTGGGTGGATCAGCAGTATCAGAGATAATTAACAGGGGGTAGCTTTGCGAAAACGAATTGTACAAAACCGGACGCCAATATCTAGGTACTCGCTTAACTCCTCATGCATGACATTCTTTGTTGCCGTGGGACTTAGCTTCTGCACATTTTCGCTGCGGTCACCTTCCCCTCATTGGACCTTGAACCTTCCAAGCTAGAAGGCTGTTGGTTTGCGCACTGGAGGTGTGTGAGAGCTAGGTCTCAGGTCGGTTAATGTCACAGTAACATGTCAGTTGTGTGCCCTGTTATCGCACTTTCTGACTGCTTATTATCTTGTTATAGTCGTGGATAGTTGCATCATAACTCGTTTCCATGTGATTTCTTCTATTTTAAAGGGGAAGTTAAGGCAAAAATTAAAATTTCACCAGTTGTAGTCTTCGGGGTGCTGAGTCGAATGGTCGTGGTCCGAGGAAGCTGAGACGCTCTCTTCCTACTTGAATCCCAATCGAACTCGCGCACTTCCACCGAAACTGGGTGACTGCGCCCTACTAGATGGGGATTTGTATGCAAAATGTCACTAAAAGCGCCATTTCGTTCTTATAAAAGCACGGATGACCGCGATTGGCCCATATGTTGTAGTCTTTTGGACGCTGAGTCGACTGGTTTTGGTCCGAAAAGGCTGCGATGCGGCGTTCCTCCTTTATTCCCAATCGAACATGGTTGAAGAAGCGGTCACGTGCTCCTGCGTACACCAGTCACCTGGTCACCGTGCCTGCAGGGTACAACTTACTAGCCTGTTTGACCTTTTTTGGGTGCAGTCCTGTCACTCGAGTTGAACTCGAGTTGAACCTTGGTGTGAAAGTTGCCACCTGCTGGCGTGGTGACCAGGTGATTTGGGCACCCAGGAGCACGTGACCGCTTCTTCAACCATGTTCGATTGGGAATAAAGGAGGAACGCTGCATCGCAGCCTTTTCGGACCAAAACCAGTCGACTCAGCGTCCAAAAGACTACAACATATGGGCCAATCGCGGTCATCCGTGCTTTTATAAGAACGAAATGGCGCTTTTAGTGACATTTTGCATACAAATCCCCATCTAGTAGGGCACAGTCACCCAGTTTCGGTGGAAGTGCGCGAGTTCGATTGGGATTCAAGTAGGAAGGGAGCGTCTCAGCTTCCTCGGACCACGACCATTCGACTCAGCACCCCGAAGACTACAACTGGTGAAATTTTAATTTTTGCCTTAACTTCCCCTTTAATTCAGCACATGAAGCGCAGAAGCCATAATATATAATGTTTTCGACTAGGCCTTTCATTCCATTACTCTTCAGGTCGAATACAATGGTGATTAACAAGGTAGTAAGCAAGTCCTTATAACCGGCACTTTTGGCGGGCAGAGCATTGACAAAAATAGCACTTGAAAAATAGCGCTAGTGGCGCCAACAGCATATTTGCCACTAGCGCTATCTTTTAAAGTGCTATTTGGTCTATGGTCTTTGTTAATCACCATTGTATTCGACCTGAAGAGTAATGGAATGAAAGGCCTAGTCGAAAAAAATTATATGGCTTCTGTGCTTCGTGTGCTGATTTGCTTTCCTCCAACCAAAAATCTATTCTATTTTAATTATATTTATTGGCTCAGTATCCGAGTTAACCTAAAGGTGTCAATCGGGGTGGGAGACAATTCCAAAGTGCACCAGCTTTCTGTAGGAAGAGGCATGAGAAAATGCGGCCACGTGAGCTCGCCTGGAGTACATCAAGGGACTCTAACTGAGCGGATGTGATCCTAATGGAGCAGACAGGAATGGCATACTCAATTGCCGGACGTACGTAAAACTTATGCAAGAGAGTAATGTGTGATGATGGTAAATGTCGGCCCATGAAGCATAACATCTTTTAAAACACGTTGCTGAAACGTCCTGAACTTAAGATGGTGTGGAAGTGGTCGTGGGACTTCAAACCATCACTGAGCTCTACACCGAGCTGCTTAGGAGAGCGCCCAGATCCGATTTTAAAACGTTGTCCATGGACACAGAGGAGGATTCAGGAATGTTGACTAGATGAGGGTTTTTCAGGAGAGAATTTTCCATGTATTTTCTGTGCACAATGCTGGCAGCTGGCGAGATCCTGCTGGAGGTGGGATAGATTCTAATCTAAGGAGAGGGATGCACCATGTGCATTTAGAAGAGTGACATCATCAGCAAAAAGAAAGGGTGAGCTATGGTTACCTATATCAGGAAGGGAATTGATATACAAAAGAAAAAGTGGAGGTGCAAGGTGTGAACCCTGGAGGACACCACAGTTTAGCATATACTGGGATGACTGAGTTGCATCGAGCTTCACACTTAGACTACGGTCAAGGAAATATGATCTAAACCAGACATGTGCCTCTGGCGCCATGAAGGTATTCATGTGGCTCAGGAGCGTGGGATGATGCACTTTATCAAACGCTTTCTGGAAGTCGAGAAATGCACAGTCAAATTTCCGCCCTCTATCAGAGAGACGGGCAATGGGATGGGTTAAAAGAATGAGTTCATCCGTAGCTGATCTCTGAGGAACGTAGGCGAATTGACTGGGCGAGATTATGCAATGACAATGAAGATAGTTGTTCAGATGATGGGCTATGCGGGATTCGAAGAGGCGGCTGATGGGATGAAGCAGTGAAATTGGTCCATAGTTCGTGGGCAGAGAGACACTGTCTTTGCCCTTAAAGAGAGGAATGGCCGTTGCTGATTTCCATGCGGTGGGAAATTGTGATGTGGATAGACTAGAATTGAACAAGTAAGACAAGGACTCACATAATAGATCGGCCATGGTACGAAGAATCGGAACAATTTGATTACTTGAAGTGGATTTTCGAGACGAAAGGTGCGCGAGGTCATAGTGGACTTGACCTGGTGGAAATGAAGGCAAATGGAACTGAGTAGCGCTAGCGTCTATGGAGGAATCTGAACAAGGGAATGATTTGCTTCTTGTGGGAACGTACACTGGTTGGCGAAATGCCGTGCAAGGAGGTCCACCTTTTCTAATCGCGTATTAGTGTGACGATCACCATCTTGTAAATCTGGTATCAATGGTTTACTGGATGAAATGTTGCAAAAGTTCTCTACTCTCCTCCACCACACATACAATGTATCCACCTTTCGTGCAGCCATTCGAGATACTGGTAGCGGTGCGATCTAGAAAGGCAGATCTGGCAGCACGGGATTTATTGCGATAAATATTCCTGGATATACAGTACGCTGCCTTTGCTTCAGTTGATTGTGGATTGCGCAG